TGTATTTAATTTAATTATGGAAAACTAAAAAGCATTGAAACGTTTTTATCCAAAAAGGAGGTTATTTTGTTCATTTTAATAAATCTATAATATAAAAAAGCAAAGTTTAAAGCGTACGAATAAAGCAATTCTTTTCTTACCCACAATTCTTACTCACACTGCTGTAGTCAGCTTTAATACATTTATATTTAATTTATTTAATAGCAAAGTGACATTATTATATCGATATCGTCCCTTTTTGCAATATCGTACAGCCCTAAGAGTCGTATATTATACCATAGAATTCAATACTAGATTTCTTGATGATACACTTCTTGCTGTTAAATAGTTCACACAGATCATCAATATCGTTAAGCGTCATGTTAGGATGTTCAGAGACTGAGGTATCTGTTATACTGCAGTTAAGTTGAACAACATTGAGTAGTTCGGTTATAGCTACTCCAAGTATGGCACTTCCAGGTACATCTACTATGTAGAATTTAATTTCTAACCATAATACTTGTCGGTACCGGCACATCAGGTTTAGGTTACCGTAACACTTAATTTTCGAACCATTATAAGCTACGAGAGTTGTGTTTTGTGCTGAGGTGATTGTAGTTGGATCAGGATATCCTTCCGAGTTAAGTTTCTCAGGAAATATTTGACGGAAAATATGTAAAGGTAACGTATTGCCTTGAGATCCAGTATCAACCCTTTGGCTTGATAAATCGTCAGTATGGTGTACCATCTCTATTGTGTGTTGGTTTTCCTGGTAAACTGATTTCAATCTGAACAAAAGCCTCATTTCGCGTTTGCGCAGAGTTAGTTTCAAAGGCTGAATCTACCAGAATAGTAGATAAGTAAGTCATTGGTAAGACTGTCAAACGTGCTTCTGGTGACAGACTCTGGAGATTCATCCTTTGTTGACATCTCTTGATAAATTCGGCCTGTTTTTTGCCGTTGATGGCGTTGTCGGGCAGACAGACAGGGAATACGACGGAACCAAGATCTGTGGGTTATAAACTTACATTTCCAGTTTCATCAAAATCAGAAGAAAATTGTGACCTCTAGAGGGTCCACAACATTGATATACCAGATGTTTACACTATTTGAAACATTTATAATACACTAAAGTCTGATTAAGAGTAACAAGTTATAAAAATTCATTGAAAATCAGTATACTTGTTCGTCTGAAGACCTTAAACTCTGTTTATCAATCTAAAGTCAATCGGGTGATAACTTCGGTTTTCAAAGTGATCAAGGGCCATAACTCTGACAGTAATTATCAGAAATCGGTGAAAATCAATAGGCTTTCTTTGTCTCATGACCTTAAACACTGTATATAAATTTCAAGTCAATCGGATATTAACTTTAGCCGCTAAATACGACTGGTACCGTGGAATCTCGGGTAAATAGCGTTATTATCTAATCTATGTAAAATTATTCATAAATATCATTGAATTTGGCCTAATAGCATTCAATTTGTCCTTCTATACAACTTAAATCTCAACGTGCAATTTTGATTACCAAGCGTTGACTAACTAGTGTTTAGTTTGTCGACACGTGTGTAATTCTAAGCGTCCCGCTTAATTGTCACGACTGTTCAATAATTAGTTGGACCGTTCAATTTCCCGAGTTGTGATTAAAATAAGTCAAGGTGTCCAATTACGCTAGGTATTCAATTCTGTTGCCGAACATCCAATTTCACATGCGTTGTTCAGATTTTAACGAAATGTTTATATTGAAGGAGTTGTAATATAGTAATGCTGCCGTGAAAACGTGTACATGTATAATGTACAGGCCGGTTTGAATAACAACAAAATGAGTTCGGTAATCTCGGGAAAACATTTACCAGCATTCTGTATCGGTTAGGATTTTTTTCTAACGCACTGTACATGCATATAACGTCAGCCAAAATGTATGCAACAATGAACTTACAATTTTTTTACAACGTATCATTACATCTTCGTCTATAACTTAGATGTAATCCATCAATTATTGGCTGCTATAAAATCCAAACTTTAAATTATATACGTAATACGATGAGCTTGCCGCTTCAGTTAATCTAAATCAATCATTCATAGAGCACTCGATCCACTCCACGGGGCGCTTAACGGTAAGTCATGTGGTCAGAAACGCGCCATTTTTGGGACTATATTCTTAGTTTGTCTGTGTTAATCGGCGACAAATCTCCGCTGTGACAATATACATCTACTTTAAATGTCGCCCAATTCATTTCGGTGGAAGCGGATATTGAATAAAGCCATTTCACACACGTGTACATTACATGCGCATGTCATATATTTATACAATGTCCACGATGTGTTACACGTAGTTGTCGCCTTCACTCCGTTATTTTGAGTAGCCTACGAATGCATGACCACTTGGACCAACTAATAGACCACTCTGACGAAACAAAAAAGACAACTCGGACCATACAAAAGGACCACTCGGCCAATAATAAAGTGCTGTTTTAATACGTTTATATTTGTGTTTGTATTAATATGACTACTCAAATCAATAATAAAGTGTTGTTTTAATTGTTGTTTTAATAATTGATAATAGTGTTTGTTTTAGTATGCATATGTTTTCTTTGAAATAATAAAGTGTTATGTACTTACCCGTCGCATTGTTTCATCATGAAGCACATCAAAGAAAAACAATTAAATTGTTGATGTAATAAAGATATATATTTGCTAATATGTACTTCTTACCGGCAGCGGATATTCTAAAGTTATGTATATACTCACCTATAAATTGTTCGCCTCTTTGTATTATGATACAATATGTTGTTAATGATTAAAATCATTAATAACATATTGTATGTATTATATTTTTAAAATGAGTAAGCCAAGCCTTATAATGTAATTTAATTGGTCCGTGTGGTCCTTTGGGTTGGTCCGAATAGCAAGGATAAATATGGGTCTGATATTATGCAATATAGATGCAGGTTTGTTTTTTGTTTTTCTCCTTTTTTTTCTAACAATATTTATTCAATATTTACATATTATAAAGATACAATGTTCAATTATGGGATCTAAAAACAAGCCGTACAGATATATAAATGCATTGTTTATAATTATAATCACGATTTACATACAATTATAATTACAAAAGCAAATGCAGGTTCAATCAAGAAACTTGCGTGTTCACCGTCTAGTATAACTTTCGAGCTTCTGATATCTAGATTTTAAACGTAAACATATACATGTATGTATAAACTTATTGATTGCAGTTACACAGGGTACATGTATTTGCAGTAGGAATTCGGGAAGTTGGACGTACAAAAGAATGGAAACACTCAGAAATTGTACTCAAAATAAGAAAATTATAACGGAGTGAAGGCGAGAATTACATGTAGGCCTAACACACTCGTGGACATTGTATAAATATATGACACATGTGTGAAATGGCTTTATTCAATATCCGCTTCCACCGAAATGAATTGGGCGACATTTAAAGTAGATGTATATTGTCACAGCGGAGATTTGTCGCCGATTAACACAGACAGACTAAGAATATAGTCCCCAAAATGGCACGTTTCTGACCACGTGACTTACCGTTAAGCGCCCCGTGGAGTGGATCGAGTGTCTATGAATGATTGATTTAGATTAACTGAAGCGGCAAGCTCATCGTATTACGTATATAATTTAAAGTTTGGATTTTATAGCAGCCAATAATTGATGGATTACATCTAAGTTATAGACGAAGATGTAATGATACGTTGTAAAAAAATTGTAAGTTCATTGAATCATTGTTGCATACATTTTGGCTGACGTTATATGCATGTACAGTGCGTTAGAAAAAAATCCTAACCGATATACAGAATGCCGGTAAATGTTTTCCCAAGATTACCGAACTCATTTTGTTGTTATTCAAACTGGCCTGTACATTATACATGTACACGTTTTCACAGCAGCATTACTATATATCAACCGCTTAATATAAACATTTCGTTAAAATCTGAACAACGCATGGGAAATTGGATGTTTTGCAACAGAATTGAATACCTGGCGTAATTGGACACCTTGACTAATTTTAATCACAACTCAGGAAATTGAACGGTCCAACTAATTATTGAACAGTCGTGAAAATTAAGCGGGACGTTTATAATTACACACATGTCGACAAACTAAACACTAGTTAATTAACGCTTGGTAATCAAAATTGCACGTTGAGATTTAAGTTGTATAGAAGGACAAATGGAATGCTATTAGGCCAAATTCAATGATATTTATGAATAATTCTACATAGATTAGATAATAACGCTATTTACCCGAGATTCCACGGTACCAGTCGAATAGAGCGTCCACAAGAATTTTCCAAGTGATCAAGGGTCATAACTCTGGTAGTAATTATCGGAAATCGTTGAAAATCACTGGGCTTCTTTGTCTCACTACCTTAAACACTGTTTATAAATTTAAAGTCAATCGAATGTTAACTTGAGCCTCTAGAGTGTCAACAAGATATGTCAAAGTGATCAAGGGCCATAACTCTGGCAGTATTTATCGGATATATCGAATTACAACTGTCAAGGGATCTTTTACGTGCACGCCAATGTGTACACGGTACCTTGGTTTTTTGTCTCATCCAAATGACTAGACAGCTGTCCTTGTCAGGCCCTCCGTCCTGCATCACTGACAAGGGGGAACCACGCCGGAAAATCTGGATAAACTTTCTTGGCCAATGCAGGGATCGAACACCTGACCTCTGGGCTAACGTGCCAGCGTCTTACAAACTTAGCCACCGCATAAAATTACACTTTACTAATGCCGATATTTATTGCGAGAAAGATTGTAAAATATGTTTTTTGTAAGTGTAAAATTTATTCAATATAATTATTATTTTTGTCATGAACTCATGGATTCGAGAATGGGCTCAACCTTTTTAACGCCTCTCTCCATCAACATTTGATCATGTGTATCTACCCTGTGCTGAACAGATGTTGATGGACAGTTTTTACTAGTCCATACTTTAGATCATTTATAACATTAATATGATGTGTGAATATTGTGTTATACCTTGTTGATAATCAGTGTAAAGTATAGTTGGTTGAGTTACCCCATCAGTCCAATCCATGTCCAGTGGTTCTTGTTTAATCGCTAGGCCTATCGGGTAACTCGTTTTAGCTGTCATATCTACTGCTTTATCAGTTGTTTTAACATGATCTTCTAAAATGTAATATATAAACATGGTATAAGAATATAAGGCCTTGATTCCACTAGTTATACTATGTAATATATAAATAGGGTAATATCGGAAATTGTTGACGGAATTCTTCGTCTTAATTTAACTTACCCCAACTTCCAAGGGCAATTGTGAAGCCAGGCAGACAGGCAGGGGATACGACAATATACGACCACATTTCAATAACTTACTTGATTCTAACTGTTCAACTATTGTCGTGTGACCTTCTTCATTTAAACTATCAATGAAACTTTGGTAGGAATTTGGCCCTCCATTTAGTAATCTGATAAGTAGTTCACGGATCATTAACCTTTTTCCTTGTTTTATTTTTTCCATATCGTCTGTATCAAAAACTGATTTTCCAAACAGACGATCTGATAAACGTTCCGGATCAGTTATATTATCCAGTAGAAACGCATAATTATCTTTAATGTTTTTTACATCCTCTTGAAGCATCTTTCCTCTCTCTCTACGACTTGGTTCATATTTGCGTTCCTTAGCACGAGATATATTGAGTGTATTAAGGCTGCTGCCATGATGAAATGTTGAAGTACTGGCTAGTTCAGTGTATGATTGTCTGCTAGTTAACCACTGTGTTGATTGTCTTTCCCTTTCTAGCAGTTGAATTCTCAAAATCTCACTTTCTTTTTGTTTAAGTTTCATTTCTCTTTTGTCCAAATCGATTTCCTTATTTCTTTTATCTTCAATAAATTTTGCACGTTCTTCTTCAAACTGCCTTTCTTTGTTTTTTCGTCTGATATCGGTTTCAGCCCATTTCATCCAAATCTGTTCTTGGTAATTCTGTTTCTCACATTCTTTCATGAGATGTTCCCTCTCGTTTTGCCAAATCTGTTCTTGGTGAATCCATGTGTCACGTTCTTTCTTAAGTTGGTCTATTTCAGCTAAGGCTTGTTGTTTGTCTTCTTCTTCGCCGCGTATTCTTGCTTCAAATAATTTCTTCGCCTCTTCATACATTTCGTTTTTATAAAAGTCTCCGCCATTATTCTGTATAGTTGTCTGAAGTAATTGTAAGATTCTGTCCACATCCTTCATCTTGCCGTCTGTTTTATCTTTGTTATTGATCGTTGCGAATCGACGGTGTTTAAAAACATCACTAAATGTTGATAACTGAGCATGGATTTCACGCATAGCATCTTCTTCTCTTTGATTATCCAGTTGATCTTTCCCAGTAAATACCACGATGGCAAATTTATCAATCAGTTCACAGAAAGTATTTTTAATATATTCAAGAACTTTTATGTCCTCTTGTGAGAGTCTTAGATCAATTCGAAAGACGACGATAAATAAATGTGGCCCTGGTGATAAAATATTAATACATTTAACGATTTCCTTAGCTATTATTTTGTTACTGTTACCCGTGTCAAACAAACCTGGTGTATCCACAACTTTTAGTAAGGTATCTACACCATTTAATTGAAGATGTCGTTGTCCATAACCACATTCTGATGTTACCGAGGTAGTCCTTTGTTGTGATTTAAAAGTATCTTGTTGTAACAGCGCATTCCCTAATGCGCTCTTACCAACTCCTGTCTTTCCTATAATGGATACCCGGATTTCTGAAGAATAATAAATCCACGATTAGACAACTGAAGTGGTCCAAGATTTGTAAATATCATAAAAGTACAATAGCACGTAAGTTCATATTGAGAACAAATATTGACATTTAAAGAATATTTGGTGGTCGAGAGTTTGAAATGAAAGGAAGTAGGGGTTCTCGCTCCACTTTTCTTACACCAACGGGGTTAATGAAGATGGGGTGGTCGACAGTTGAAGTAAAACCTACCCTACCCCCACTACTAGGAGTGAAATCATGTGAGCAGTTATTAAAGGTCGTCTCTATTTGAATAAAGATTTTAATGATAGACTAAAATGGCTCTGGTGAATAGGGTGTATTCCCATATCTGGTCAATAGGGTGTATCCTTATAACTGGTCAATAGAGTTTATAACTGGTCAACAGAGTTTATAACTGGTCAATAGGGTTTATATTTTAATGTTTATGTTTTTATATATATTTACCTGTACTAGTATTACCTTGTAAAGTTTCTGTTTGTGAAACTAAAGCTGGTCCTGTATCTGTACTACTACTGGTACTAGATGATGACTGTGTTTCTATTTGGGGGATTGTATTCTTACTAGTTGGATGTCTTGCTGAAGATTTCCCTTTACTATTATTTAACTTACCAGACATGATGCGTTGAATAGATCGTTCTGCCAATAAAATTAATAATGAATGTAATAAATGAACACACCACAGCACAGAGAGAGAGAGAGAGAGATTTATGAATGAATAATGTATATGGACAGCTAGTAACATAAACTGTGAAGTCCCCATAACTCCTAAAAAAAGCATGTAGTATAAGAGAGCAGAGGTGAAACCTTTGCTGAAATTTGGCTGAACCATCGCCGCCTGCACAAAATAACCTCTCTTGTTATGTTCATTGATTATCAATAACAGTGCTATTTTCACAGTTAGTATTACACTAGCTAGAAAGTTATAGTTCCCTTCCAGAGTTGGCCAAGAAATTCAGAGGTGCAAAAAGGAAGACCTAGCAAAAAAAAGGTGTCAAATAATTCAGACGTCCAAGATTTACTTGCTCATATAAAATAACTTTAATATCTGGTTGCACGCTGCATGACACATGCCATTTGATTTACTCATTGGTGCAGAAATGTATGACGTTTAATCACATTTCATTCATTCTTTTGCTCATTCCCAAATTTGGGAATCAATAGGATTCTTCCTCTGGCTAAAACAACCCATAGTGTTCAGGCTGTCAGTCACATGGTTTTCAGAAAATGTGGGAAGACACACTTTTTTTAAATTCTTAAAATAAGCCATTGTCAAGAACTAATTAGAAGGTTACATGAATAATTAAACGGAAACCACTTTTCGTAGATTATGATTGATAAGAAATATTAATGAAGACTTGTGTTTTATAAGAACTTTTATAATCGAGAGCGAATGTTTGACTGTAAACATAATGAAACAAGTTTGGTAAAAACAATAGATACAGTTATTCAAGCTTTTCGCGTATAGAAACCATAGCACTGAAATTATTAACAAGAGCATCGCTTATGCTGTAATATACAGCTGTAATATACATCCACATTCCTGCTTTGATTGATATGGTACTTTTTGAAATGAAGAGAGTGAAATATGAAATGGCTGCAACCACTGTAATATGACAAGGCTTGGCGTTGGGTTTGTTTTGCCAAATTTACAGACTAAATATTAACAAATCAAGTTGCTGTCCTTACGGAAGTTCAAGATGACCCATTCAGAGCTGCAGTCTGCAGATGAAAAACACTAAAGTTCGGCGTGGCTCTGTCCCTGGGGGTTGGACATGGAACAATAAAAATAAGTACAACCCTGTTATTAAAATTGAAAGGGGGTTTAACGTTCTACAGTTCTGCTCTGATTGGGCTAATAAGTCTGGCATACGCAATTCAGTATGCTACGAGGGAAGTTTTGCCAGGACACCTGCGCTACAGCCTTCTCTTATATCGAACTCCAACTGCTAAGGGATCTTTTACGTGCACGCCAATGTGTACATGTGACTATGATTTTTCGTCCAATCCGAATGACAAGAGAGCTGTCCTTGTCAGGTCCTCTGTTCTGTACCACTGACCAGAAAATCCTGATGAACCCCTGTTACAAAGAAAATTTTAAAAAATTGGGTGTGAAACCGACCCTGGGGGTTGGAGTACACACCAAAATAAATAGTTGCTATCATTAAGTCACTCTTCGGGAGATATCATTTCGTATAAAGGGGTGACAGCATTCCACTTCGAAACAGTTTGGGGTACATTTACGACAATTCAAGGTATAAGCCAGTGGTTCTGGCACACCTGGCTAAACATATATGAAATGTATTTGAATTTTGCAAAATAAAAACATGGCAAGTCACAGACGGCATACAACCGTAGACGCAGACTAGTCATAGACACATAGAATGACTCAAACTAAATACAGAAAAAACACAGCCATGAACTTACTTTATTGCAGTGTTTCGAATTTCATCAGTCAAATAACTGGCTTATTTAGCTAGAAATTTTCTTAGTGTGCCGTTCAAAATTTCGGGGGACAAGAGGGGAACATCATATAGCCTCCTCGGCTTAGAGGCTAGGGTTAAGACATCATGTTCAGACTGTAGAGAAGACATCATCCGTGAGTTCCAAGGGGAACAACATACCCACAGCCGCTTTGGCTGAGAGGCTGGGATAGAGCCAATATGTAATGTTTAAGCCGTTAGGTCTGAGTTAGAAAGGATATTAACCTCAGACCATGGATAATTTAATAACTATAATAGATGGCGTAGTTTTCCTGTATTTAACCTTTGTAGTTTGCTGTATTCGATATATAAACTTAGTAACAACATAAACAGTGTTTAAGACTTAACTGATCATTGGAAATAGTTTTCACAACGTGAAGTCAAAGACAGATCTAGACGATAGTGTCACAGCTAATACCTTATTTGGTACCGCGACGCAGGATACCATATTTTTACACTATTTGCGTATGAAAGGCGGCAATTTTGTCCAGCATTTTTGGTCTGATTTTCACGAAATTTGAACTCAACCAGCATTATGGCGTAATGGTAATATATTCAAACATTTTTTTAAATCGGATAATGATTGTGACCTCAAGAGGGACCACAAGCTAAAAACGTGTTATTTCGAACAATCAGAGGCCATAATTCAGGAAGTTACGATCCGAAATTATGACCTCTAGAGTGTATAACATAATTTAAGTTTTCAGAACTAGAACACGATCTGGATTCAACATTAATTTATTCTAGCATATATAATACACTAAAATCTGATTAGGAGTAACAACTCATTAAGTAATTATCAGAAAATCATTAGAATTTATTTGGCCCATGCTAACGTATAGTATACCAAACATTTAATACCATGGATTTAGCTGTTCAAGTTACCAAAATTCATTGAAAATCAATATACTTGTTTGTCTCAAGACCTTAAACTCTGTGTATCAATCTAAAGTCAATTGAAACGATTATATATATAGGTGTTAACACAGTGTATATATAAAATCATGACCTGATGACCTTAAACACTGTGTATAAATTTAAAGTCAATCGGATATTATCTTTAGCCACTAGAGCGTCAACAAGATTTTTCAAAGTAATAATCAGAAATCAGTGAAAATCAATAGGCACCTTCGTGTTGTAGGGTTTTAGCCGAACAAACAACATCAACTGCAACATCGTCATCAAATGAGAAAGTATATTATAATAATAACAAACATCTGACAAACAGATTACCAGCTATCAACAGTTTATGACACACATGATATATACGATAAATGCTGACAAAGGGCTACAGACGAGAACGCTGTATTCCCTAATAGGCCTAATAGTAGTATTCCGCCATAGCTGTCCCACAGTGCAACGTCACACATGCAGCTTAAATTACTGTAAAGTTATTAAAGAGATGTACAATGCATAACTGTATAAAGCAATACCCACAGTGTAAAGTCAATCGGATATTAACTTTAACCTCTAAAGCATCCACAAGATTTTTCAAAGTTATCAAGGGCCATAACTCTGGCAGTTTTTCATCTCATCCGAAGGACTAGACAGCTGTCCTTGTCAGGCCCTCCATTCTGCACCACTGACAAGAAGAAACCACGTCGCAAAATCAGGACGAACTTTCTCGGCAAATGCAGGGATCGAACACCCGACCTCCAGGCTAGCGAGCCAGTGTCTTAACCACCTAGCCACCGTGGCTCCGAGAGAGAAGTCGAAACTGCAATGGATGTAAAACATTTACAAATTATGATTCATAACGCAGTTAGGGTGGCAATGGAGGCTACAACGATACAAATTGAAAAGGTCAAAGTGGATCATGAAATGAAATGAAGTTTAACATCGTACTGTTCTGCTCCGACTGGGCTAACCAAGAATATACAGATATTACACTGACCTACATTAAAGAGACACCCAGCTCTATGGTATCAGAATTAAAACGTTATCAAATAATGATTACCCTTAATAGATTCGTGTATTTGGTTTCATACTCTACACTAACCTATAATCTATATTAAAGAGACACCTAGCTCTATGGTATATCAGAATAAAAAGATAAGAGAATAGTACAATATTATTTTCGAATCAATGGATATATCGTCAACTACTTTAATAAGTAAACAATAGATTATATAAAATTACTTTATTTTATGATCAGTAGCAGTGAAATAAAACTTGTTATTTCACTGGCCGCCGGGACTACTTTGTTTTTCTGGAGTTACCTCCCTGGGGTGATAACCACATGACAACTAACAAGGCTAGCCTACCCTGCTTAGTGACAACTGACATCGGATCGGAAAGCACTGGCTCTCGCATCAAGAAAACCCTTTTTATTTGCCAACCAAATGTCCACGGTATTCACACCAAAGTTACTGATGGATTGTAGGCCTAATTAAACACTAGCCTAATCCTAAATTAATGTAAAGTTGTCAAAACACACCCAACTACGCGACGGTCACAACTCACCACGCACGGTCACTAGTTCAAGTCGAGCTCGTGTAAGTGTTGTTGTCAAGACTCGTGGCATGATTTTACATCGCTTGACTTACATGTATTTCAATAAACACATCGATATCAGTAAAAGTAACATGTCCTGAAAAATGTAATAATCCACACATTCACAAACGCCTAGTAATACCACTTTTTAGTGACAAAATTATGAAAACAATATGGCTGACACGCCATGATTTTACATCGCTTGACTTACATGTATTTCAATAAACACATCGATATCAGTAAAAGTAACATGTCCTGAAAAATGTAATAATCCACACATTCACAAACGCCCAGTAATAACACTTTTTAGTGACAAAATTATGAAAACAATATGGACGACACGCCGACTTGTAGGTCGTTACAACTTACATTCTCAAAGGTATTCATACACCAGAAGCAGATAAAGATGTAAAGCGGTCTAACCCCCCGCGTTGTCCAAGCGGACAAAGTAGTCCATGTTGTTTTTACCTAAAATGATTGTAAAATCATAAAATAAATACATCATTTGTCGTTTTGTCGTGAATAACATATTTTATTTCATCTCTAAGCAAGAAAACGTTTATATTTTCACGAATGCGTAGCATGAGTGAAAATATAAGTTTTCTTGCTTCTCGATGAAATAAAATATGTTATTCACTCTAAAACGACAAATATCCTCTATGT